TGTGTTTTATTTTACTACTAACGCCACCTATGTATTACAAATAAGAAACTAAATATTATACAAAGCTAAAATGAAATAATTGTAGAATTTGTATTTATGTCTATGATAATAAAAGCCTTAAACTTTATCTAATTTAACTTTATTTGACCAATTTCTGTAAAGTTGCATATAGTAAATTATTATTTGAAAAATAACGTCATAAAAAAGTTTCACTTCTTACGAGTGTACGCTAGTACACGCACACATTTTTTTTTCACGGTAGTAGGGCCACGTAACGGCCTCGGCTGTTACACGAATGAGCAGGCTCGTCCGGGTAAGTACCACGACCTCATAGAAGACCGCGTAAAGTGGAAGTATAATATAGTACTTTCGCGTTTCTTCTGGTTAGGTGGCCGGAGTCCAATTTTCAAAAGTTTGTCAACGCATCTGTAACCCTCGGTTGTGGCAGGTGTCCATGGGCGGCGGTATTCACTTAACATCAGGTGAACCCTCTGCTCTCTTGGCAACTTTTCACACATAAAAAAAATCGGGGTTTGTTTCCCAAGGAGGATTGACGTCAGGTAGGCGGCCGGTCGTACAAATTATAGCCAAAATCGCTTACAATCGGATTCGTATGTTGTGCCGATCCCACTTACGTAGGATAAGGGCCAAAGGGTGATGAATTTAGCAACAATCTGTAACGTATATTATAGGCTTCTATTTGCACGTTGTAAACCTACAACCAATAAAGTTATCTAATAGCTGGAAAAATCGCTTTATGGATAACTACCTAAGAAACTAACCTAACCTTAGTAAATAGTTGCTTCGATTTTATATATCTATTTTTCCGCGGTAAACAAAAGTATTGTAAGTAACATCTAGATGTTCCTCCGCCGAGCGGGGCGACGTATTTATGACGCTAATTCTCTGGGGTCCGCGTCATGTTTAATTTACAGGCTCCGGCGAGTCCGTTGTTTTGTTTTCAGGAAGCCGATGTCTCTCCCCGGCTCTTGCTCTTTTATTTTTCCCTCTTTTCTCATTAAGGGTAATAAGTTAGGAATGATTCACTCCGAGTGTACCCCGAGTCTGTTTGTACAAATGTACATGCTTATATTGTTTAGCAATCTTCCATTGTTCCATCCGGAACGGTAAGGAAATTCAGACGCAGTTAATTTTGCGCGCGCGTCTTTTAAACAAAACTAATTTATTGATTTTTTCGTGTTTAATTTTGGTTTTAGATCTTTTTAGGTCCCAACATCTCGTAACTGTCGGAGTCACGGGACTTACCGGGATGTTTTACATCAAATCCGTAAATTAGTTTTATTTAAAAATACCTACAAGCAATACGTAAACTCAAGAAATTGTTATGAAATATTATGTATTTGTCCTGCGTATAAGCACTTCCTTTCGAATTCATATTGAAGACTTGAAGTGAAATACGCGAGTATGGTTAAAGCATAGCCGTTGTACATTAACTAATTGAGCACTCATAATAAAAGCATTATTTATGTAAGTTCTGTTATGGAGACGTTGAAGTTTCGAGAACAATCTTTATTGTTTTAAATAGGTTTTAAATTTGTTTTTTATCTTAAGGTCTAAAAAGAAATTTTGCTAGCTGTACCTTCAGTTATTGCCGAATATAATCCCCTAAGAACATTGCCAAATTTCCCACAACGCGTGTACATTGCCAACGAACCGAAATTAGTGCAGGAGCAGTATTACAATAAATTTCCTGCGGGGCTTTTCTTTAATAAAAAAAAAGTTAAATGGAAACATTTCATTAAGGGTAAGTTACGCGATAATCCAGGGGGAGTAGCTCCGAGGGTTGGCGGTTAATACGCACTTTTAGTGGGGGCGAACACGATATTATGTTATTGTATCGTCCCAACACTGCGGCCCGTGCCTTATCGTGTATTCATTTGTTGAGGAACGAACGAACTTCGATCGTTAGCAGCCCGTCAGACACTTGTGCGTCGTTTCTTTGAGCAATTTACATGCGAAATGTGGTTCCTTGGCCCACACAAGATGTCGGATGCTAACTTGTTAAGTCCCGCCGATATCGCGGTGAGTAGCTAATTTTTGGCAATGTCCTCCCTTTGTTTGAAGTGACTCCTTGAGGGAAATCGTACAAATGCCAACTTGAGGAACAGCTATTTAAGGCAATTAGTCTTTATGTGAGATCCAAGATAAGCGTTGTCAAATGAGCCTGTTTTGTACATTCTTCTGCGTTCTATTTTCAAAGTTTTGAACCATCGCTATTATAATTAGTTCTGCTCCGATAGCGTTAACAGATAACGTAGCTAATAATTCCGTGCTAACGGCAATATTGTATATCAAACAGAACTTATTCCCGAGATAATTATAGTTGGGGATCATTCGAAACGCTTCGGGAATTTAATATAAAATTTGGCGATTTTGTAGCCGTCAAACAGTTTCATTAAACAGTGAAATATTTCAACGATGTCTAATATTAGGTCCTATATTAATTGCTTTGCGATGCAAATTTTATTGATTTGTTTTTTGGTAAATACAAGCTATCGTCATAACCTGTTCGTACGTTGTAACGAAAACTTTGGGTTCAATTCTGTTAGTCGCTTATAAGTGAGTAATAATTTGCTACATATTTGTAACGTTATTTCAATTTGTAAGTACCAATTCGGGAGTTATCTCGCCAGTTTCATCAGCACAATAACGGACGGAAGCGCAAAACGTTCTGCGAATAAACCACAATGCCCAGCTTCCCGAACGTTGCCATATTGTAATATTATTCATAGAAACAACCGCAATAACATCACTCCGTGTAACGCCATCTTAGCTTTCCGCGGTTGCCATGGCAACGCTACGTATTACCCGACATCGTGCCCGATGTATTTAGCTTTGCATTTGTAGTCCAATGTATAGTCCTAGTGTAATATCTATAGTCCCGTGTTCGAAATAGAAAATCTATGCTATCTCTGTCGAGTGTGGGAATCGAACCCACGACCACCGACGCCAAAGCCAACAGCCTAGCAATGGTGCCACCATGTCGCCAAGTCATAGATTAACTGATATCGGGTCATAAATTGACTAGATGTTAAATAAAAACCGAGTTCTGTTGTGCAGAGGTTATGCTTATATTATACTAGTTTTTCGCCCGCGGCTTCGCTCGCGTTGAAGCCCTTAAATAAATATTTTTCAACCCTTTACAACATTTGTTTACAATAAAAATAGCCCATGTCCTTTCTCAGGCTTTAGACTATCTGTGTGCCAAATGTCATTTAAATCGGTGCAGTAGTTTTGGAGTGAAAGCGAGACAGACAGACAGAGTTACTTTCGCATTTATAATATTAGTATGGATAATGCCCTATGCCAAATTTGCTGTGAATCTTCCTAAAATGTAAATCTTAATATATCAGGATATCGTTACGAAGCGTTCATTATTTATTTTATTTAAAAAAAAAAACAAAAACAATGCCAAATCACAGGATGAACACGCAAATCTGGAATAAGTACTTCTAGGTCATACTGATCCTGTTTATATCACAGATTATACATGCTGTTTTCCAAATCGCTAAGAACGTTGGTCATCTGATAAATAGGCTTTACAATATTGCCGTCCACAGGAATCATGTTAAATCAATACGTATGCTCACGTAACGAATTTCCAGCGGATACATAAAATGGCGTTTAATCAACTCCCCGCGCCGATATTCCAATTTTAATTTCCCAAATGGCGCTCATAACGCGTTTCGCAATTGATATCTTTGTTTTTTTCCCCGCCAACGCGACGTGAACGCAGCTTATTTGAGCGCGCATTAAAAATATTACTTTTCACAGCATTGATCGTTCTTTATGCTGCCAGTTATGATTTAACGGGCGTAGTGCTGTTTCGTTACGAAAAATGAACACGATTTTTCAATTGATTTTCCATTGAAGCTCTTCCTATAAAGTATTCGGTCTTTGTGACAAAACGGCAAACGAGCTGGTGGTACACCTGATGTTAAGTGGTAACCGCCGTCCACGGACATTTGCCACACCCTACGGGTTGCAGAAGCGTTGCCACCTTTAAATAAAATGGGCCCCGGATACCGCACTCACGAGACAAAACGCAGAAGTGTAAAACAGTGATTTAAATAGCGGGCGGAGTTTAACCCTATATATGTACAACATGGCTTCGCTTTCGATACAACGCTATCTACGTCATACTGAGCTTGAAGCGGTTAACTGGTCCGGAAAAAATGAACTCTGGGTATCGACTAGATAAGAAGAGCTTATTAACTCCCAGGACGTTATTGGTAGTAAATCTGTCGCCATACGTCGGACGGGAAAGCGATACAGCGATCGACAAGTCGCCACCGTTGTCTTGTTATTTTTTAATACATTTTAATAACATTCGCCTGGTTTAAGTCAATAATTCAAAATCTTAATCTTAATCGGAATCTTTATAATATATTTATCGAAGTCCTAAAGTTATCTGTAGCGATAATAAGAGGCTAGTTATTTTCTCCCTCAGAGGTTAAGCATAATTATTTCGAGAAAATGCAGCTAGCCTTGTTGGCACTATGCCGTGTGAACTAGGTTTGTTAGATGAAATTTAATTAATATATAAAATTGTAAATATTTTTTGTATATGTAATATTAATAATATTCGATATTGGCAAAAGCAATACAGGCAGTATTTTATTATATTATCCTTCGTCGTCTGAACTCTGAAACCAAGGTCTGTGATGATAACACAGTAAGAATTGTTTACAATATTTGTTATGCGTAGATAATCTATGCTCTATATAATATGGCCTATTTGAACTATGAATAAGTCTAAATTGTGTGTGCGTATATCAGGATATCTTCAATTCTAGATAGCTGGTTAGTTATTCTTTTACTCTCCCAAGTTATCTTTACATAATGCTAAAAATTAATTTATCCATTTATCGTAATATCCGTTAATCGAATAAAGGTGGTTTTTACTTTTGGTACATAGCTCTCCGCAATAAAACCCATCTACAGGCACAATAAAATCCTTGTAACCGTTACCCTAACAGTATCATTAACTGCGATCGGTGAACGCGATCGGGTATTGCACTTGACTGCGGCCAGTTCCAATTCCTCGCGACCGTTACTCGAGATAATCAAGGCCTCGGGGCAGATACCTTATGGGCGTTTGAATTATGCGCCGAATAAAGGCTCGATGCTGATGTCGGATGGCTGTAGTGAGCATTCACAGCGGAACGCGAAGACGCGAAAGAGACGGCTGGCGGGTGAGCGAGACAGCACGAGGCAGCCACATGGCAGCTGATAGGAATGTGCGGTTGTGAATCTATGTTAAATGATAGTTCGCCGCAGTTCGCTTTGGACTTAGGTCACACATGTACCGGTGAAGATGTATTTTCTTTTTGTTTTTATTTAGTGCTCTCGCTGGTGGCGGTTGAGTTTTTAATATGCATTCAGTATTTGTCATGTCGCGATCTAGTAAAGGGATACGTAAATAAAATATATTGTAGCTGTACCCTTGTTTCTTATTCATTGAATATAACACGAGACCGTGAGCCACGAAATGAAAGTTGCATGAGGGCCTAAATGTTTTAGTGGGTCGTCATGGTTCAGCGAAAACATGATCAGCAGTACATAACTACATAGATACTATCTCCACAAATACGTGGAAGAATTCTTGTATTTCAAGATTATTTAATGCAAACGATCGATCAATGTCGAATGTAAGCATGTCGTGCGATCGCCCCATCGGCCGGTTGGCTCGATTAGTGTTCTAAGCCTTATCGCCTACCGACGGTTTTATACAAAGGGCCGAGTGTCAATCACTAATAATGTCAATTGATTAAGTGAAAACGTTAAATTACTTGTTAATTACATAAATATATATTTTTGTTCGAAAGTGGTAAGCGAGATGGACGATTACTTTAACACGATTCCGACTGTACAGGAGAGGGACAAGTAATGTTTATATGTTACTTTAATGTTACGGAAACATTGAAAATACGTAAAATAGTTTTATATAATAATGTTTGCAAATATATGAAATATTAACTAAATATTAGAAATTAATGAATTATAATAGACAATCTTGATAGTGAGTACAATTACTAAGTGGTTGATAAAACAAAATAATGCATACTTATATACGTATATTTACGACAGTCTCTAAGGCCGACGATTGAATAGTTGTTGTAAAGTCTGTCATTAGTATATATTTATACTAATAAGATAAAGTTAATCAAATTTTGTAAAAGATTGCCTATTAGTTTCTAACAATTATACAGTTTCAGCGCCTTGCTTCTTGCGAACGTCCATTGATGACGGTGAACGTCATTTAGCTTTCTTTATATAGGTAATCTCATCTAAAGTCGAGTACGACTGTACCAATGCCATTAAGCTGTTGTTTTTAGTATCGGACGTGAAGCGGCAGCGGGGATTAGATTAATGCACACGTCAGGGTGAACCGGTGTATATAATATTTTACTCGAGCCCTCGGAATAGTTTTGTGGGGTAATGGATCGGTACAGGGAAGGCTGCGCGGGCGCCCCGGTGTCACTGACATCGCTTACGGCGTGCGCTTAGTGCGAGCGCGAGCGGGAGCGGACGCTCGAGTGGTTTTAAGACGACAACTAAAACATTTCTAGTAACAAAAAACAAAATTGACTACGAATAACTCACTCAATATATCTTTTTGAGGAGTTCAAATGTTGTTGCAAATCCCTGATGTTTCTCCGGATTCCAATGTTAAATGCCAATGAAATTAATATGGGACCACATGGTAGCTAAATCGAACCCAATGTGAAATAAAAATAATTTTAGCATCAGTTCAGAAACATAATAAACACACAACCCAACTGAGAATCTACTTTTTGGAGTCCTGTTTGAAGTGAAAATGAAGCCGCTTATGGCGCCGTAATGTATTTAAAACAAATTTATTAATAGTAAATGTTTATATGTTTATAGATATAATTAAGTACAAACAAGTAATTTCTGTTTATTTAACGATGACTGGAACTTTTGAAAGTGTCGTCATATTTATTCCACACGGCTTTTGACATGTTAATTACAAAATAAATTTTAATTTATAATGTTTTCTTTTCTTTCGACATAAGGACTAATCTTACTATACAGCGTGTCGTTACCATCGCGACAATAAATGAACACACGTTTAACGCTACTTGCCAATAATCATATAAAAATATTAACGTTAAACAAAATCCAAAATTATAAAAAAAATTTTTTAAACAAACTAATTAAGTAAAAAAGAAACAAAATTTTTAACATCCTATACAACTCGCGCCACAGCATCGCATTACAAGCCTCTCCTTCTAACAGTATGTTTTGTCTCTTGTAAATATATCAACCCATTCATATGCCTTGTGACCTTTAGAAATGAACTTTACGTTACAGTTTTATACGTAAGGGTGTTCTAAAATTGTTTGCTTTGGAAAATTTAATAACTCTGTAAATATTGAAGTTTAAAGAATGTAGATATTTAATACAATGTGTGTTCATTTATTGACGCGATTGTAAAGACACGCTGTATGTTTGAGGTCCGCTCTTCCGCAAAACTCTATTTTTGTGTATAATAGCCCGCATTTCGGAACAATTTCACTATAACCACACCACGTAACAGCAGACGCTCCGATACAGAGCCTAACCGGTCCCAACAAACCCGGCCAGCGCTCTATGCCCCGCCGCGTCAGAATGCGACCGTGTTTGGATTCATCGTAATACATCTTCGGTTGATTTTTATAACTGCCACTGTGACCAAGTCATATACATATGTCATCATCAAATACACAAGTCAGAATCCGACGTCGAGTTCGGCTATTATAACGTGATTGGAAAAGGGCTAGAGGCTCATTGTAATCATTTTTTTCTATGTGAGAAGGTGGCAAACGAGCTGGTGGTTCACCCGATGTTAATTGATAACCGCCCATTAACATTTGCAGCACCCGTAGGATTGTAGATACTTTAATAAAGTGGGCCCAGGGCTACCTCACTCAACAGACGAAACGCAGAAGTATAACAGTTCCACTTCACACCTGCCCATTCGTACAACAGCGGAGACTGTTGCGTGGCCATATTGCCTAGATATCTATTTAACAATGTTAAAGCCACACAAGTCTGCTGCTGCAAGAATTATCCGGTGAAATACAAAATTAAAAGTTCAATCAACAATTATCTCATTGGTGCCGGTGTAGGGATTAGAGTCGCGATAGCTCTTGTTTATAATCGAGCAACCTGTTAAAATCCCAGTGCCGTTTATTTGCGATCAAAGTTTAATTCAATAAATGGATGACATTCAACGTCGATACCTACAAAACATCGAGATTCATCTATAAACACTTTAATGTTAGCAGGTGTGTGTGTTTAAAGCAAGTTTTATCGGTATCGGAAGGATATTTAAAACACCGTGGTTTCGGTAAACAAATGTTAATTGGCCGAAATGCATCTTGCGGCAACATTGCTCAGCCGCGAGGCTTAAATGAAAGTGCCTTAACACCCGTAGTTCGTTTTTTATGCGCTACGTCGTTTACCTACTCTACCAAAACGATTTTGTAGAATATTGGATAAAACGCTATAGTTTTATAAGTTTATTGACGCAACTTTCGCGTTAATGGATATTTTATAAATACTTTGTTAATGGAAACTGCTCTATGGCAGTGTAAAAACAACACCGAGTTCCCAAAATTCAATTAAACTTCAACTAAATCGTCGTCTATAAACGCTCCGGACACGAAATTCCCCGAACGTCAAGTCGCGTCGCACCGCCGCCTTTTGCTAAAGCGGCGTCGAATCCAATTGAAATCCATTTCGTAATTGAGTTCACCCCTCAGTACTTCCCCGTGAGTGCATCGAGGTGATAATGTGACCCAGCGGGATTCCCCGACACTTGGAAAAACATTCCGAGGCGTTGGGGCGTTCGCGGTGCCATTCGATTTTGATTCGGCCGTTATCACTCGTTACAAGTCACACAACGGGCTGTGCGAATGAATCGTTCTCTATTTGAATTTATTTGAATATGTTCTTTTTGATTTTATTATTCGAATGTTATTTCTACTACGCGCGTTCCGTGTGTTTTTCTTTTTCATACTTTTCGTGTAATTTTGGTTTCTTACATAATTTATATAAGGTTTAGAGCTATGTTAGGATAATTAGCGCCTATCCGTGGTTTGGATTGAATGATAGTAGTGTAGTAGTATAGGTTTTCAAGTATCTTTTTTTGTTTTCTTGATTTTACGCGAATATTTTACATATTAAATGAAACTAGTTTACGGATTTAGTTGTGCCGGGGTTCACTATGACATCAAGACGTATAACAACTTAGTCTGTCCCGTGACCATGAACGCTGGAAATGGTTCGAAACGTCGGGAGTTCAAATCAAAATAAAAAACGCGATAAAATCCGTAAACTAATTTCATTTGATATCTTTTTTTTTTTTGTTGACGCGAGGGGAACATTTATCTCACGGTGTTTCCCTTCACCGATGAGCACGTGATAAGTCAACACTTAAAATTGCAAGTAACAATTTCCTCGGTGCCACCGGGATTTGAACTCTGGTCGCTCTAGTCTATTGAATTAAAAGCGAGCGCCTGATCACTGGGCTATCACGGTTCTAATTCGGCTTTAAATCGAAAATGTTGATGTTACTAAAATGTCGAAAATCAGTACGAAATGTTGTAAAACATGGCAATACTCACCTATATTGAATCACTGGCTTATAAAAGCCTGATCGGAAAGAAAAAAATGGCGCTATAATAATAAAAAGAAAGTGAATGTGACGCGCCCATAGCATGGTTTTTAGTTTTCTAGTATACAAATAAACCACGCAGCTGTCTTGTGACGGAAATGCGCTGGTAATTAACAGCTCGCGATCCATCTTCCGACCTTTGTCCTTCTTAAGCAGCACGTCTCCTTTTAGAAATGTAAAAGCTTTCGGTGTCCACTTTTGCTTGGCACCTTGCCTTTTATGTGCCCATCTTTTTAATCCCGAGACTTTAGAGTATTGCCTGACGGAAAGTCACGATACAGCCTTAGGAAGTCTAGCACACTAGATAATAAATAAGATAATAGATTCTTTTCGTAACAAGACCTTTTAGTGCTTTTTTGAAATGGGAAAAGCAAAATATTGCATATAAATCCGGGAAACATCTGTTGAACATCCGCGTCGTGTCGTTATCTTTTTGTGAACTTTTTTAAATATTTTTTTTCATATTTATTTTACATTCTTCAGATTTAAGTTTGTGGGCTCAGATCCCTGGCGTATGGGCCCCTCAGGTTGGCGTATTGCAATGT